AATTTCTGGAAGAAAAAAGTATTTACAACATTTCTGTACCGGCACAACCGTAGCCATTCCAGACCCAAGGACTGGGTTGCCAGACTCAGGGGAGAAGCTGGAGAGACTCTTCAGAGCCAAACCTCCCCTGGCACTGCGGTACTGCTCTGGTTTTGGAGAGCAACCCAAGGCAATCTCAGCTCATTTTCCCCTAATGTGGCTGTTCAGCCAGAAGAAAGTGTATTACTGCATCCCTCGGAGGGAAAAACACTTTGCCTGACGTTCTGCAACATGGGACAGCGAGGGGCCGCTCAGGCTCAAGGTGGATTTGGTACCCAGAAGGAACACAATGTTTTCTGTACAAGGGGAGGGAGCTCTCAGGGCGAAGGCAGGCAGTGGGCAGGCCGCACAGATGCGCTAGAGTCCTGCAAGTCGCATGGCAGGTTGCCAAGGGGTAAACTGGAGAATCTGACAAAAGGAGCATCACTGAAACTCAACGTTCCCTGCAAACATTAACTGACACTCATAAGATCCCTACGGCAGGCAGGAATCGCACCCTTTTTAGGCTGAAGAAATCAGAGTCAACAATTCCTAGAGCTCAGCTGGGAGCAAGTCTCCTCTCTAACAGCATCAGGGTGGCTAACAGGATGAAGGGATGCAGAGCTGCATCGGAGTTGATGTTTCCAAGTCACTCAAGCTGCCAACATATGGTGCTGCTTTCACAGGGGCCTATGGCTGAGCCTAAACAGATGTATATTGGTAAAAAAAAAAAAACCAAAACTGTTCATGGTCATTAGGCCAAGAAATCCAGTAGCAAGCAGAGTAAGAGCAGGCTATTTTCAGACACCACTGGAGAGCAGCCAAATCTACAGGGTTTAGGGCAGACAGAGGTAAAGGAAGGGAATATGGTCCATGTTTGGAGAGGAGGGCGGGAAGAGAAATCTGACTATATAAGATCCACTGTACAATTACAGAAGCAATACTGTCTGCCCTAAGGACAAGTATTTCTGGACAAATGTTTGTAAGCTTTCCCTCAAAGCTTAACACAGGCTACAAGTTCAGATTGCGAGACAGGCAAATGTTTCCCCAAGGCAGTGACAGGACAGAATGCCGCGGTGACAAGAGGGAGTTGCAACTCTTACCCTGTTTAATCCTCTCATGTGTAAAATAGTGTAATGTTTCCTACCTTCCAAAAAGTCAGGCGAGGATTCATTAATGTTTGCACCAATGCTGCATTAATGCTAAGAGGTAGAGATTTATCAGCTTCCTTTTAACCTTTGCACAACTTCAGTATGTGTAAATACACATATGCTTTAAGATTTTAGTCATTTTCTTCGCATGTCAAACCAAAACATGAAAAGGTTGCATGTCTTTGCACAAGTACAACTCCACTGCCCTCAGTGGAAAAACATCAATTTACAACAGGATTAAAACTTCATCACCTCTTTCTCACTAGCCGACATCTAGAAGCTGACACCTAAGAGTGGCCACTGAACTTCACACACCCCCATGTATTTATAATGAATCGCCTCAATGCTAAAGAATCAGTTCAGGACTGAACACTACTCGCTGGAGCAAGCAAGGTGTCAGAAGGTACACCTGCCTCCCAATACTCCTGAAAGTAACACTTGCGTTTCTCTTCACTACTAAAGTGAGTGTATTTGTATTAGAACAGCACTTTTTTCCTGCTACAGTCCCTGCTTGCCCTACCTGGTCACAAAAATGGCTCAAATCCTTAACTAGTAGGACCTTTGTACCGTTAAGTAAGTGAAGTTGCTGTTTTGAAACAAGGGGTATGAGTTCTCCAATAGCAAGCAGTTCCAGTTAACACGCCATCCATTCAATTTAGGCTTTATTTAGAGAAATGAGGTCCTCAGATGCCATTTAAAATTTTTTGTTTGTTTGTTGTTTTTAAGTTATAGCCTCAGATTAAGTTTTCCTTCATCTAGCTACTTGTCTTTCCTTCATAAAACACTGACCTTTTGGGGTATACCCTGAACCAAGGAGGCCAGCCTGACCATAGAGATGCTAACACAATTCAGATGGACTGATAAGCAAGGCATGTACATATGTAACTAATACAGAATTAGTAGTTTAAAGAATTAGAAATGCTCTGCCCTAACAGACACTGGCCCAGGCTGAGGATAGCAATCAACTGCACAGAAGAGCTGGTTCAGCTGTTGGATATGCCACAGCACAGCCCAAAAATACCAAGCAGCAGAGGAGCACTTGAAACGAAGGTAGGGACTGTTAAAGACTCTACGACACAGCAGAGAGACATGATGAATTTTTCTCAGAAACCACCACTGCTGTGGGTACCCACACAATGTTAAGGCACTTCAAAATATCCAAGTCACTTTACACCACGGTATTGTGGAAGGTGAACTTGGGGGTGCATTAATTTTCTCTCCATCTCTTAGACACCTTATGTCTAATGTTTCAATAGAATCATCCATGCTCCAGAGCTACAAAATATCAAGGTGCGGAACAAATCTCAGACTTCATAGTTAAGTAGGTGTTACTTACTCAGGGCTTGGTTTGCAGAGCCTGAGGATCTGTAACTCCCCAGGGACTTCAGTTGGCCTCACAGGCACTCAGCATATGTTATTGCTCCCTCCTTACTTCTGCCCCCAATTTTGGCACACAGTCACAACACAATGACTTCAGTAAGGGATCTCAAAATGGGAATGTCAAAACATTTCAGCTTATTAAGATTTTGAGAAATCAACACAGCAGGACCTGGAATTTAAATTTTTTTTCAAAAAAAGGACGTACTTAATTTTTCCAAGATCTCTTCATCTGACATTTTTGGCTTTTTCTTTTGTTTCTCCGTGTTCCTGACCAGCATGTCGGGTGCCGTTGTGCTGTTTTCCGAGGGAGAAGAAATAGGAGAGGTGGCCACATCTCTGGTAGGAGGAGGAAGCGGGTCTATCACAGAGCGGGTATATATCTAGTTTTGTTGAGAAAAACATACAAGTCAGATGAAGACTTAAACACTTCTAGTCATCCTGTTGTTGCTCTTGTTGCTGTCAGGGATGCATTTCTGTAACTACTTTGTTAACAACTGATATCACTGAGCAAGGACTCTCTTGTCGCCCCCACAACCACACAGGTGATAATATGAAGGTGCTCTGCCAGAAGGAATGGCTCCCACCTCCTCCCTCAAGCTCCCCAGAAGGGCTCAGCACCACGCCATGCAGCGTGGATGAAGAGTCACAGTCAAGACCCAACTGTGTCTGCAGCGGTGGGGGCTGAAGAAAATATTTCTGCTCACAGATTTTGTGTGTTCAGGTCGTGGAGCTATCACTGGGGGTGGAGCTGCATCATCTTCATCATCTTCATCTTCAGACACTGAAGGCACTGCAGGGGTCTCAGAGACAGCCTTCACATTCTGCATGTGGTTACACAAATAGCAAAAATAAAAACCCAATCGCTTGTTATAAACAAAATCACAAACATTGGACTAAGTTCCTAGCAGAGACTGCACTGAAGCAAATGCTGAAAAATAATAATCAGAATAGGCTAGCAAGTTACAATATCTGAAAAATTCAAACCTTGAAGATCCTGAGCCTTCATGGGAAATGGAGGGGCAGTTCAGCACTGCCTGACACAACTGCTCAGAAAGAGCTTGTCATCTGGCTGTGCGATGGCAGTCCTCTTCCCAAGGACCTGAGACCCACCTGGGCACTCTCACTGCCTTCCCAGGACCCACTCGGCAGACCCAGCAATTCTGGGGACAACATCTGGGTTTAGAAATATCTGCTCCTATTTATGTTGCCTCTTTTTTTTTTTTTTTTGCTTGCTTCAAACCCCAATCATGCAGATTGGAGGATTTCAGTCTTTAAATGTTCTAATTTGCATCAAAATCTTAATGTTTTCTCTAAATGTTGGGAGGTCAAATTAACATCAGCTGTAGTATTGTGACTGAGAATTAAGTAATGAGAGATTTTGGAAGAAGAATCTGGTAAAATCTTTCCAAATATCTTTAAAAATTGCTTTCTGAAAGAAAATTTTATGAAAAATAGGAACTTTTTTTTTTTATAAGTGGTTAAAAAAAAATTATCTGGGACTTTTCACAATACTGTGATTAGAAATCAAAGCCACTTTTATTTAACCTTTTAAATTTGAAACTAGATTTGAAGTTCATGGCATCCTTTACACTATAAACATTTCAAATAAACTTGGTGAGATCCTCAACCCACTAGACCATTTCTGCTTGTGCATCATCAGTTCCCTAAGACAGGCAAGGGAAAAAGTATTAAAATAAAGTTCTATCTGAAAGAGGGGGGAAAACATTGTAGTATTTCACTGAACCTAAAATATGTGAAGTCACCAGCATCCTGACATATAGTTGCTAAAGTGCACTCAACATAACACAAAAGCTTAGCCTGTTAGAAGCAACAAGAAAAACCACCTATGTACCGGGAATTTCCTGAATATCGCCAAAATTAAAGGTTACCCAGTGACTTCCAAAAACATCAGGCCATCTCAGTAGACTGGTAACTACTGCTTTTTTCACGATTTACTTTAAAATCCAATAGCGTCAGGTATTCTAAACTCCTGAGGGTTGACATAAAATGACATGTAATAATGGACACTGGCAGAAACGTTCTCCCTTTCCACAGAGAGTCTGAAACAGTCAGATCTGAATACAATGCCTCTGGAAGGGAGCAGAACAAGCCAACTTTACATAATGGCATGGCAGTAAGAAAACAAGAGATGAGGGAATTGTGGGGTCTTATGAATCATCTTAAAATTGAAAGTTTTGTTTCCTCCATCTCACATGCACATACAGAAACGTATCGTGTCTCCTAACACAGCAAACAGGAGCAGTGCCTGCCCTGGTAAGGACAGAGTAAAGGTCAAGCAGAGAGGAGGAGAACCTTTTCTTTCCTTCTCTGCTGGAGATTAGTCTGGTTAATCAACACTAATCAACATTAGTTTTGGTCAATCAGACCTTGCAGGTTAGTAATTAAACTTTGTTATATCATGGATGTTTATGGAGACATATAAAGCCCGACAGCAGAGCGGTTATCAGATTCTAGGTACAGGAATAGATCGACTTATATGAAAACAAAACTATTTCTATTCATTAATTTCTATTCACAAATTCACTATTCACTAACAAAAGCTACTTCTGCCTATTTGATTCACCCCCAGTTAAAAAAAAAGTGAAAGTAGCACACCTGTTTTTATAAATGTGTATTCTCTATACAAATACGTATAGTTCAGATTTTAAAACATGAAGCAAACTAAAAGTTTACGTGTAGTTAACTACTTTATACAAGTTTTTAAATCCCCAAACTCGAGACAGAATGTGAATATATGGCTTACCAATGTATTTGATGAATTGTAATCCTCTGTCGATTTATCTGAAAGAGACCGATAGTAATGCCATTATAAATGAGTTGTAAACGCAGCAGCAGTGAGAGGAGAAAGGGACAAGCTCCCTTCAGAAGGGTCAGGAAAAAAAGGCTGCTCCCTAACCTAGGCATTACCTTCAGCTCCCCAGAACAAGCTGACACCCAGCAGATACGGGAATAGAGGGTAAAAAATTCTGCAGATAAATGCAGGGGCCCCAACTCCTGCTGCAGGAGGGTGGAATTTCCCAGAGCAACAGCTGAATGAATAGTGTCCTCCATCCATAGACACAAAATATTTTCAATGGGCTAAGTCACCAGCAGAGGCACTGCCTAAGGCCTGCAAGATGTTCAGTCTCAGCCACCTAAACTTCCTGGAATCGCAAGAGAACCCCATGAGTCAACTAGTGGGCTTCTTGTTTGACTACCCAGGCACATATGGGGAAGATTTGTGCTTTTATCCCTGCCTGGAGCCTTCCTAATGAATACCAGTTCTGGTGACATAGCTCTATCCCCTTAAAAGAACGAAAGCAGGGGTTAATATTTAGAAAGGGTAGGAGTTACAGTTGAAAGGGAAAAGGAGTGGTGGTTGCAGGAGTTCTCCAGTGCGGAGGTAATCCACACAAAGAAGGCACAGAACCTTGGCAGCTTTGATTTTTAGAGGAATTCAGTCGGCAGTTATCAAGCGCCTAGCAGCTGAGGGGTATTCCTCCATCACAGCACATGGGAGCAGAGAGACCCTCAACCCCATACATCCATGAAGCAACATCCACATCTATGCTGGAAACTGAAAATGGTGCAAAATTTAGCTGCCCGTTTTCTCCAGGGATTTTCATCCCTGGGAACCCAACACCAGCACTCTGGGATCTGCCTTCCTGATGCTGGCTGTAAGCTTCAAAAAACCTATGTGTTTTGGGGATTTTGCCAGCTGGCTGACCTCCTCTTTTGCAGCTACTCTGGGCATCAGGATTAACAGAGCAGCATTTTAAAGGCAGAGGGGTGCTTGAGCAGCCAGAGAATCTCATTCACATTTTCCTTGAAAAGACAGATCTACTTGTTGATTAAACGAAAGAAACTGCACATGCAGTGACTAATGGAAAGTTGGACAAAGCAGCTGTATGAGACAATCACCACGTACCTGTGAAACTCATGTACTTCTGGCTGTTGGAGATCTTCTTGGAGTTGTAAAACTCCAACACGTCTAGCACTGCCTGGGGGTTCTTCTTCTGCTCCGACTTAGTGATGTTGGAAGTCTGCAGTAAACGTGCCCATTGCTCTGGCATTCCCTGTGAGGAGATGGACCTCGTTAGCTCACAGCTAGCCTAATGTGGTTCACAGCACACACACACCTCGCCGCAGTTCTGCCACAGTTTCTGGGCTTACACAGTGCTGTGATGGAAATAGGGAGAAAAGAGGAGAGGAGAGGAAGGATAAAGAGGCAGTGGATCGATAGTTTCCTAGCCACCGCCTGTGTTACAGGTCACACATTCCTCACATGGACATGAAAATGCCACTCTGCTCACGGGGCTCTGGGTGAGTCCCAGGTCCTTTGAAGACCAAAACTCAAAAAACAGAAAGGAGCAGACCCAAACGCTGCAGTTCAGGAAGCGCCTCAAGCAAGAGACAAACCCCTTTATGCACAGGTATACACATATTTACGTATATCCAAGGCAGACTATAGAAGTAACATACACTGTATAGCATCTAGCCCAATAGGAATGCAACATTCCTTTGGGTCTTCTTGTGGCATGAGAGTTCTTTGATAACAGTGGTTTGGTGGTTACTGTAACCAGAGCTGGGAAAGCACACGTTAACTTCATATACGAAGCTCAGAATTTCATGATAGGGACATCATTTCAGCCAGAAAATAAGTACATCTGGAATACAACCAGACTTGTGCCTTTCATCAACAGCAAGAATAACAGTTTGTATAGACGAAGTGGCAAGTGACTGCGATTCTTTATCAATAAAGTTATCCTCCCTGTTCAAAAGGATGGCTGGATACACCACTCCGGTAACGTCCCACCAGTACATCTAAGTTAACCTGAGTAAGTCTAGAGGCTGACACGCAAACCACAACTGTACACATGACTGAGGTTAGGAGAGCAAAATCCCTGAAAAAGGAGCAGATTAAAGACAGGTAAAAAGAGCTTGCTCACAGACAACTGCTGCTGCTACGAAATACTGTCTCATAATCAAATTAAGAAAAATAATCCGATGAAAAACAACTCTGTCTTCATAGTATTTTGCATGTCAATTAAAGAAAACATAAAAGCATGTGACATTTAGCCTTAGGACAGCACATACATGTTCTGTCATAAGTAGTTAAGCACAGCTGTGTCTCTCCTAAAGGAGAACTCTCAGAGCCTCACTTGGAGGACACAGGCTATGCTGTAGACCTAATCCAGATCTAGAAGAGGAGGGGAGGGGAAGGAAGGAGAGATATACCATGTTTTGCTGGCCACATCAGCCAAAAAAACAGGAAAGGAAAAGTCTGCTGGCAGCCTGGGCTCCTGGGATGTGCCAAGTTTGACAAACAGTTTCTCATCAGGAATTAGTGGGTAACCTCTGCAGATGTGTTTCAAAGGAGATCAAATTAGACGATGGTAATAGCCTTTCCAGCATTACTATATAAAAGATTAATGGGTCCTGGCTCCTCCCAGCAATAAAGCAAACCACATAGTTCTCTTTTCCTCCAGATTCACTTACTGTGAATTCTCCTGTGACTGCATCAAACCCCACATGAATCGTGTGTTCAAAGTCTGAAGGGAGGGAGATCTCCGGCCGCTCTTTCTCTTTCTTTTTATTGGCTGGAAGAGAGAACAACAATCACAAAAAAAACCCATTCCATAAATCCCTCAAGAATTGAAGTCTCCTCAATAGCTTCCAATTTACCTACCCAATCAGGACCCCCTTTTGCTATACTCACAGGATTTTGATCTGTGGTAGACAAACAGCAAGTTTAAAAACTTTGTTACCTCACTTAAGAGCAGTCACAGCGAGCAGACAACAAAAATCAAAGTCCTGTAACACAGGTCAGGCGTAAGACAAGGAAACTCATACTTTGGGTATGTCAAGTATCAACCGGTAAGGCTAGACTCAACAGCACAAGAGCTATTTACCCAAAATATTCACTCAAACTTATACAGGTCAGAGTCAAAAGCACTACAGTGGCAGTAAGTGGAAGGTACACAGTTTTGAACACATTTTTTTATTTGTTGCTTTAAGCAACTTTCAAAAAAATATTATGTGCTGTTAAATATATACTCACCTCTCATATTAAGACAGGGAAAAAATTAACTACAAATATTGTCGATAAATTGTTTCCTTCATCCTACTTCCTCAAAACAGAGTTTATGAAGAAACCCAAATATAGCATGTGTGCTTCTGCTACAAAATCTTACATGAGCAAAACCATTTATATTTTTCTGCTCACAAAATGAGTTAAATGTGGTTTTAATAACAAGCTTTGAAGACACAGAGCAAGAGGGCAGAATCTGGCAGGTAAGGAGTAGAAGTCATGAAGAAACAGGAAAGGAAATAAATCAAAGCAGATGCACCCTGCAAATTTTAAAGTCAGGTCTTCAAACAACATTATCGTTATGCCTTGGATTAAGTTCATTCATATTAATGACATATTAAGGACTCTACCTTCCTTCTAATATTTACTGTATTCAAGAAGTTGAGATCAGTTTAAGGAAGAACCACATTCCACTCAGATTTGCTGCTGCTTGCAGTTATACAATAAGCAGAGCCAGGAGAAGGTGACTAAACCACTTATGCTTCCCAGCTGCTACCTTTTTTATCTGAAGCCAAACAGAATTGGTTTCATGGCTGACATTCCCCAGTGCATTTTTGGCAACATGAATGCCAAATCCCAGGTATTTCAGAAACCTGTGAGGCTAATGCTCAATATTGCAATTATTTAAGACGCTGCTGGTGTTAGCTGTGTAGAGATGGTCAGGGCTTGCCCCAAAGGACTGAATCCCGTTTCCTTCAGTGCCAGCTCTGGCACTGTTCTGTGTGTCACTACAGAGTTACAGTTGCACAGAGTAATTTTGGAGAAAGAAAAGGATCAGATGCTCCATTTGGGACACGAAGATGGAACAGATTGTTTTCGATCCCTCTTTCAAACAAAGGGGATGGGGTAAGCTGAATCGCAGAAGAGAGAGAGTTGCCAAGGGGAAGGAGAAGAGAAAGCTGCCGTGCTGGAGGAGCCATCACAGAGGGGGCAGCTAGGAGGAGACAGAAGCAGCTGCTGGTTAGCAGATGGTGAGCATCTGCAGCACAGAGGCCTGCCAAAAAAGGAACAAGCAGCTGCATCCAGCAGGTATATAGAAAAAGCTGCATGCACTAGCAGTGGATAGAAAGCAAGAGGAAAAGAGATGCAGAGCGAGCCATCAGAGGCACCATATTCTACAGGCCTGTCTACAGGATCAGCCCATTCCTCCAAGCCCAAGAGTAAGGTGTCAGCTCAGTCTAGAAGCCCATCACTCAGGTGAGGAAGAAGAGGGCATCTGTACTAGCATCAGTGTGCAGGAGTCCTGCACGGGTGATGCATACCCATACACGGTCCAGGACTGCCATGGTAGATTTCAACATATCCCTAAAAAAGCTTAAGGGCATGAAGTTGCTGTCCAGAAGTCAATACGTTTAGGTGGTTTTTTATTTCTACATTCAGACAGCCTGAGCTCCCTGCCACACACCTAAATCCCAACAAACTTATCTGCAACCAACTGTTCCAGAATCCATTCAACCAGCTAACTGAGACAACTGCTGACCGCTGACTTACCCAAAGCAGGAGACGATGGCCTGAATGAGCCTCAGCTGCACAGAGCAGTAAAATCAGTTCTGGAAGGACTGATTAAATAATGTAATGGCCTCTGTCACATCAGCACTCTAGCTCTCTGTTCATGTTCGACACATAGGTAGAGAGTTTCAGCATGGCTACACCACAGTATAGAAACAGATTTTTCTGCATTTATGATTTATGTTGGTTTTATACCCCTGAAATAGTTAATGTTCTCCCAATTACCTTAGTTTCCTGCAACCATCTCCTACAGCATCTCAACCCTTTCCATTTTCCCTGATTCTCAACAACATTTTGGGGCAGCTACCACAAACTGATGCTAAAATCACTTTGCCTTAGCAATAATGTTACAGCAGGTGAAACCATAATTGCTCAATACACTTTTTTAAAATCTGCCTGCCTGCCACACTCAGGGTTTTATAGCATCCAGACTGAATTCACCATCGTGTGAACACATGTGAAGCTGGCAGATGAATTCAGAGATTTTCCTCTAGCAGTCTCAGAGGACAATGAACTTCAGAAGCTTTTGATCCAAAATCTGACAGATCTAAAAGCCTAAATATATTAAACCATTAATAACATAGTTGCCTTTTGTTGCAGATATTTATGTCATAGCAGGAGGTATAAAATAAAAAGAATTAAAGAGATGAACACTTCCAGTCTTGCTAAACACTTAATCCCCCTCTATAGTGATTGTATCATCTTTGCAATGAGTCAAAAAGCATTGAAGAATCTCAACTTAAAAAAAGAAATAAAAGAGAAATCATATATCTGACTAAGAAGGCGCACCTACCACCAAGTGCTTTATTCCCACAACCACCTTACCACTTTCTCATTCAAAACCTCACATTTGACCCGGTTACAAGAGCCACCCACAGTTTCCTTACTTGAGCTGCAACTAGGAAGCACGCTGTCCCACTGTGAAAGAAGCCCGTGAGCCCATCCTGAAGTATACTGAGATGAGAAAGGTCTTCTCCACTGGTAATGTTGAGTAAAGCGCTCTCCCTGTCACCACGGGAAGGGTTCCTGGGCGCTGCAAACTCATCTTGTGGATAAAACCCTGTGTCTGTGTGAACCTGCAGCTGAGCTCAGCAAAGCTCAGAGGAGCTAAATGTGCCACATTCAAGTCAAATTCGTACCCTCAACTAGGACACTGATGAGCCCTGAGCCCAAGAAACTTCAGATGTTGCTTTCAACAGGAGTTGTGAACAAGTCATGCAAGCTTTGCATCCATTTGGACAGGACTCACCTAGCATCAGGCTGATAGGTTTTTTTAAATAGCAGTTTCGGGGTATAGGCTGGGACAGAGGAAATCAGGACTATAAATGACATCCTAAATTTTGCAGGCAAAGCATGACACCTCCAGAGTAGCCTGGCAAGGGGACATAGCTCAATGGAAGTGTGCAAGCATGTATGAGGCCCAGGATTTAAGTCCCACGTATCCTTTACACCCCAGCTCTGTTCATGCACAGGAGTAGTGCAACAGAAGAGATAATTTCCAAAGCCCCTTCAGCTGGAATTGCCCTTCTTGACCCAGCAACCTAGTAAAGATGTCCTCAAGATGTCCCCCCTTGTTGGCCTCCCCTCTAATCTGGGCCCACAAGCTCTCAACAGGTCTGTCGCCTGCTCCACCACAGGACTCCAAGTGTTTGAGCTGCACCTTTGCATAAAGCACAATCCCTTCACCATCTTTCCCATCCATCCTTCATAAAGTGCCTGCTCCAGTACTGTTCCCTGCCCAGAGTAAAGAGCTACCACTTCTCCGAAGGGATTGACAGCATCAACTTCAGCAGCTCTCAGGCTACAGCATAAAAGCCCACGTCGATATTTGCTAGCAAAATTAACCGCTGAGCATTTCAGATCTCCGCAGGCTCTTTGCGACCCCAGCAGAGGTTAAACACAAATCACTGGCTTCCCTTGGTAAAGATCCAAAGGTCACGAATTTGCCCCAAATTACATTCCTCTAACTGAATGGAAACCAACCCCCCTTTAATCCAGCCAAACTAAAAAATAACATCCAAATTATTTCAGGCACAAACCAAAGGAAGGTGCCTGAACACCTAGGAATTTCATTAACGTTTAAGCGGCATGAGGCACTGGGAATTTAGTTGTCATCATGAGATTAGAAGAAGTTTTCATAAAATGAAAAAAATCAACCAATCTGAAGTGAAGGTGACAGTGTTAAGGGTATTTTTTGCTCTAGAGAAATTATAGGACAAAAGCAAGCATTCTCATTCCGGCAGGTGTATTGCAACAGAAGGCTCTGCTGGGCTTGGCTAAACAAAAATCTCTCATGTCTTGAAGCATCTGCCACGTTGGCTAATCTTCAGTAAACGCAGGCATCTTCAAATCAGTGGCAGTCTGTCTGCTGATTTTACCCAAACCGTTCACTTTTGCAGCTCTCCTTTAAAATTCAGTTCAAACTAGCATTTTAGGTTGTATTTCTTTTACTCTCTCATAAGTTCCAGGTGATTTCTTTGTTCTCTGCAACTGTTGAGCCTATAGATTTTAAAACCTCACTTCCCTAAGTAAGCCAAGACAAAAATCCTGCAGCTTTTTAGGATTAATACTCATAATTGGCAAGTTCTAACCGAGATCCGGCAAACTGTTAACACTGAGTTCATAGGTTTCTGGATTGCAGATTCAAAAATCCATATTTGTAAAACAATCCAAAGTTGCCAAAAGTATCAGATAATAATAATAATGAATACTGCAATATGTGGTAGAAAATGAACCTGTATCTGGCTTATTTAAACTAGTGAAACTATTACTCCAATTAGACTTTTTGCTAACAAAAATTAAGGAGGCAGCCTCTCTCCCAAAGCCCAGGAAGCTGAAGATACCCAGGCTTGACTTTAGTTACCCAGTGTCCAGATACCACTGCACTGCAGACTCCACAAAAAGTTGATGTATTAGAAAGAAGAACTCCCCAAAATAGGTCAGATAAAAAGAAATCAGCACATATTAGAGGATGGTGATTTTTCTTTTCTTACGTCACTTCAAAAGATCCATGAGAGAGAGAGGTTTAAATCCTGGCCTTAAAAATTAGAATTTCATGTACAGTTCACAGTTCGTACCTCCATTTCCATCTGTTACAGACCCTGTAACACTAGAAAATTCCTTCAGTTCACAAGAAATGTGCAAGAATTCGCAGTAACGGATTATTTTTAACAGCAAGCAGACAACGCCTGATGCAAACACTAGAACAGAGTAAATGACCATGCAGTAATATATGACAGGCCTAGCAGGAGATGGCCTGTTAGTCATGCTTAACTCAAATTATTTGTTGTTTAAAACAACAAAACAAGCAAAAGACCCCCCCTCTGCTCCCCACCAAAGCAATTACCAATGCCAGCTTTAATTGGTCAGCTTGTAATTAATACAAAAATGTGCGATTTTCAAGACCATTAAGGACCAGTCAGGCTAGTTCCAGTTTTCAGGGACACTGTTCTCATCATTTAAGTGGAGCAAAACTTATAAAAAAAAAAAAAAACAAAACAAAAAACCAAAACACCAAAAAAAACCAAACCCAGGCACAAAACGGAGTAAGCAGGATGGAATAAATACAGCAGGATTAATCGTTGGAAAAACCAGATCTACAGCCAGCACCTTATATACCCCAAAATGACCAAACCTGTTGTGCAGGAAACAAACACACATTTTGAAAAACTAAGCATCAGGTGCTCAACTAAGGTCATTCAGAGCAACATTCACACATAAGATTTAGAACAAGAGACAAAATACTGTACTTTTATCCCCTGGTAAAATAGATCGGTAAAATCGGTCCTTCCTCTTCTTCTCTTCCGGGTTCGGAGGCAAAGGTTTAGAGCCATGGTTTAAAGTCCCAGCATCTTTGCTTCCCGATCCAATCATAGTGCTGGTATTTCTCATTGGAGGAGCAGGCGGTTTGTCTTCTGTTTCAACTCCATTGTTAGACATCTTCAGTTGGGGAGGCCGTTACTAGGAATACAACAAAGAAAAGAAATAAGAAGCCTCATTTACTTATTTTTTGCAGACGAGAATCACACACTGTCAAACAAACCACAGACAGGTATTTGCAGACTAGCTTGTAACCTCCTATCAACCCAATGTCAGCACAACAAATTCTACTCAAGCTCCAAATTTTTTCTGTTAACAGGACTATGTTCAAGCGTTTCAGTTATTGATCATTAAGAAAAGCCTGTTTCAGGATACAGCAAATTCTCAAGCAAACCATGGAGCAGAAGCGTAGGGTGGAGAGGCAGAGCAATAAATACAAGGTAGCAAAGAACAGGGATACTCGAGAGGAGCCAACAAGTTGCCAGGCTCGTAAGACCTCTCAGATCCATGCTAGTTCCACTAAAAACTATGTCGAAAGGTTTGCATCAGTCTCCAGCACAGCATGATACAGAGAGACTGAGATACAGAGAAACAGTCCCAAGCTGCCTTTCCACGGTAGTGGCACGCTTCAGGCACAACTCAAACCGCCGGAAAGTTGACTACATTTTGTTCTGTTGGAAGGGTCAAACAAACTAGATCCCCAACACACACATAAATCCTTAAGTAAATAATCCCCGCTGTGCGGATTTAAAGACGGAAGCTTTGGAAGAGAGTAACAGATTATTCTGCAACAACTAGCTTGTTCCACCCAAATGAGATCAGCATTTCTCCAGACACAGCCTGGCTGCAGCAAGATCCTTCTGGAAACTGGAATTCATCTGCATTATGTTCTCAAAAGAAAGTTGGGAGTTAACTGCAGAGCAAAGACCAAAGCAGGAACAGTTTCTGTTTGAGTGGAAAAAGCAGTTCAACAGCTTTATGAATTTCACAAGCAGTAAGGGAAGTTGTTTCACTCAGGGAGAATTATTGGGTGGCAGAAAGTCAAAAGCCGTTTGCTCCTCACAAGTGAGAAGTCTGGTTACAAAGCCGAGATCACTGCTGACTTCCAGGGAGCTGCTTTTCCATAGGATGGACTCAGAGGAACCACACTGAGTCACACTCCAAACAGATCCCACAACCATACCACGGTCCTATGACCACACACCACGCAGCCAGCCTTCAAAGTCTTCTTTGGTCAAGCTACTGATGCTCAGCGTAACTGGCAAGACAGGGACCCAGGGCACGCTGCTCTCACAGCTGCGGGGAGCTAAGAAAGGCAAATGCTGCCCACAGAAGACACTCAGCAGCAACACGTTAGGCTCTGCCGAAAGCAGCGGTCCCCTAGCTGTCACCAGCCATGCTGTGGCTGGTCTGCAGCTCCACCTTCTCCTCCACTTACTCAGTTCCCAGTTTCTTTACACTTGCTCTTAAACGGGAGGGTTGGCAGTATCGCACAGCCCATAAGGCTTCGCACAGGCCTTCACACACAGGGACCTTTCTAAGTGGTTTGACCCCAAGCCCCGCTACATCCCAACACAACTGTGCAATGGAATTTTAAATGACACACTAGCATTTGGGGTATTGATTTTAACGGTGGGACAGTTTTGGTGTTTGGGAGGAGTGGGGGGAAATTAGCTGTGCATTTGTCTGGGCGTGTTCTGGCATGCGCCCCGTGCAGCTTCCATCATTCATGCTTCAGCCTCCTGCCATTCTCCAGTATAAAACGGAGCAGAACTAAGTGACAGCTGGAGTGCCAGCCATGAAGTGGTGCAAACGACTACTCTCCCTGCCTATGCAGTGGAAAAAAGTCTAAACTAAAACCCAACAGATAAATTTGGCAGCTACTGCCGCACATGTATCTTGTGCAATATGAAGATACTGAGGCCTCACTGACAGGCTTTGCGCATCGCAGTGTCAGTGGTTGGTACCGAACTGGCACAACTAAAGCATTTGAAATGACATAAGCAGAAGTATCACAGAAGAGCCGCATTCTTTGCGCTGATGCTTGTTTAACCATGAGAAAGCAAACTGCTGGAAGGGTACTAGGAATATGCTGCAAATAGGGAAGCAGAAGGAAAATGAATTGTTAGCAGCTCTGCGCCTGCCAAATGACTCTCCCCAGGAGCGGGCATCACATTTGCTGCTCTAACACCCCGGTTTACCCCCACAGGGGTTTGAATAAAGGTGCATCCAAAGATTCCCCCACCGGCCAGACTTCTGGCGCTGCACGCACGGCTGAGATGGCAGGGGAGACTGACTCCTTGCCGGGTCCCTCGCCCGTCAAGCAGAGAGGTGAGTAGGTGAGAATCGGTGCTTGCTCCCTGCTGTCAGAGGCACAGGACTAAGTGGGGGACAGAGTAAATTTACCGTACTGGGGAATGGATGTAACATCAGACCAAAGGGTGATACAAGAAAGATAATAGAGCAGCATGTGGCTCCAGGCTGGAGAAAAAGAAGTGAGAAGAGGAAGAAACCTCCCCCAGGTTAAAGGCAGAGGCTGGCCCAGTGCTTGGGGAAGGGAAAAAAAAAAAAAAAAAAAAAAAAAAGACCAACCAACCAAAACCCACACAACTGACCATGAAAACATAAAAACCTCTGGATGTCAAGCATCCTCACTCTCAGTTCCACCACTGCAAAACCCCAGGGACATCTGCTCCCAGTTTCTTCAATATAAGAGAGTTTTTCAAAATCCCTCAGTCGGAAAGGATAGAGCACAAGTGAATTAGTTTTACTGCAGGGCTAGAAACACTGGCAGTACAACCTCTCGTTTATCTTACATAATTCCCAGAATGAGTAAGTAACTGCTGAGAAGTTATATAGTTTAACAAACAATGTTGGTTTACATCTATTTGATAACTGCAGCTTTCATGTGGGCAAAGCCTACAGTACACCTGCTCCTTTCTTCTCCATCACTCAAGCTCCCAGACCTTTCTCCCTTTCTCCTGATCAAAGTCTTATGTTTGGAGTTACAAGAGCTATTTAATCTGTTTGGAGATGGGAGGGGGGGGGGGAGAAATCCTTCAACCCACAAAATTAAGAGACTGGTTTTACAGAAGTTATCCCCTGTAATAGCAGCACTATCCTAGAGGGTGCCCAAAAGCCTTTTCCCACTACGTGTTTAAAGGGAAAACCAAAAACCTGCTTACTTGAGTCCTCCCACTGTGATACAGAGACACAGTTTATCCCCAAACTCAACATCGTTATACTTTAAGCTTCTGTTGGCTTCAAAGGATGCGGATGAAACCCTGTCCCGACAGAATTGCACCCACCCCTCCAGGGTTTTACAGCAGAGCTGAGAGCCCAGAGCCCAGAGCAATACTGAGTGGTTACAGAGATGCCTGTCTCCCTCACTGTAGCCTAGCTGACTGTGCAAATTCTCTTCTTCCTAAAATAATCTCCTGCCAATTCACATGTAAGCAGGCTTTAAACAACTCTCCCTTGTGTAGGCCCTGCTCAAATTCAGAGCACCAGGCAATTGCTTCACCAGCTGGCCTAACACCAGCGCTCCGCCACTGAAGTGAGTCGCTCTGCTCGGCGCAATCAATCCTAAGAGGAATGCAAAGCGTCACTGGACCGAGTTACTTCCTTCTTCACACCAGCACGACTCTGCTTTGAGAAATTCATCTTACGTTTCCACACTATGATTAAGTGAACAGTGGAAGCAATGAAACAGCACATGAACTTTTCAACCGGAGCCAGAGGAAGAAATACATTTTAGCTGCAGACACAATTATTCTTAACTACTACACGTATTAAAATAGCAGCACTCAAACCAAACCCCACAGACACCACTAGGAAGGCACAGCCATGATGTAGGACTATTGTTTCTGCAGCCGTTTGGGAGTACTGAAAGTTCGAGTTTCAGCACACAGTACTTATGAAAAGTTTTATTACATACTGCAACCTGTGACTGCCATAAGTCAAGTTACAGTGGCCTTCAAATGCTCCCTGCCTCTCCCCATCAACTTTTGAAGCCCATTAGCTAAATTAGATTACCCCAGCCTCAACAGAGTTGAACAGCAGACCTGACAAACTCTCCTTTCACACCTACAAAACACTTCCGCAGACAAGAAGGAGTAGACAGACAACCGCAGACAAGGGGACAAGAGACTCAGGAAACCACTTGGCAGTTCAAGACAGAGCAAGCAGAGGTACTGAACAGAAGACGGCAGCCACAGGTGCCAGAAGCAACATCCAAGAGTTCAGAGTCCACAGATGTGCAAAGATCCGTGCGGGTCTGCTGATCTGCACTGGGGAGATATGGGTCAAAATCATGAAGTTTATGTCTGTAGTTTACCTGTAATACAGGCACAGGCTCCTGAGCCATTCATCTAGTACAGTGGGACCCCAACATATAGTAGTGCCAGAAGGCTCCACGTAACACACACACGAAAGACAAAAAAAAAAAATAAAGAGAGAGAACAAAGATCCTCTATTCATGTCATTTTTCCTTCTGGTAAACTACATCATTTCAAATATGATGCTCCATGCTGAACTATAAGTTGATATCAAGCTGCTTGCATTTCCCTTGCATTCTTTAGCACGACAGGCAGATGACTGATTGCTAAAACAGAAAGCAATTAAAAAGTCAGAGGAGCTGAAACCTATGCTACAGTAGATGCCATAAAGATAACCATGTCCACCGCATACTAATTGCCGGAGTCAACATGAAAACTCATAAAAGAGCCATCTATAATTCATGCAGTCTGGCAAGACAGTAGCTGTAAGTTACTCATTACAACTTACAGACAAATAAACTATATTAAACAAGAGAGGGGGGAGGGTGATGCTCAGCAACTGTTTCTCCCTCTCTGCCTACTACCAGAAGGAAATCTCACATTTTCCCGAGATGCTATTTTTCAGTTGTTGCCAGGGTGAGGAACGGGTGTTTTGCCCACAAAAAAGGCAGAAGGAGTGCTGACCTTTAATTGAGTTGATCCTGATCAGAACAAGCATTTTACCTCTGCACCAGTATCCCTGCACCCTTCCACCCCGTGGCTAGAGATTGCTCGTGCACACACACAGTTACCATCTCCTCCTTCCTCCTTGCACAGTCCCCGTGGGAAGGAGCTCAGGCTGTGCCCTGCCCTGTTCAA